TCAATAGCTATTATTACAGTCCACAAAGGATCAGGCTAGAAGATGCACATGATGTCATTCAACCTTCCCAATACCAAGATGCAGGTGACAATAGAGAAAATTAACTCCTTGCTCAGAACAGCAGTTCAAGGATTATGTTCTAGTAGAATCTGTAGGATTTTTTATTTGTTATCTACTTTAATATCCAGACTTTAAGAGGGTTCTGATTTCTTCAAAGAGCCTTTCCAATGATCTGCTAATTTCATGATTGCATACACAGAGTGCAACAAACTACGAGAAATATCATAACTACATGAATCAACAGCGCCACCCATATCCTGGGGTAGGTTTTAGATGAGATTCATGCTAGTATTTTTACACCATACAACAAATTTTCTATGCTTTTCATATAATGTTAAGAGCAATCATAGAGATAATTGTTATTGAGACAGATCTAGAAGGCAGAGGCCTAAAATTACTCAGAACTCTTTATCCTAAACTAGACAATCCCTTCTGAGATAGGATTAAATTCTAGAAGGTAGTTGTCAGTAGGTTCAGAAACTGACTTATGGCCATGTAAATCCCTTTATCAGCAAACGTGCTTCCATTTTGGGAAACCTAATGAAGACCATGATAAGTTTCATTGAAGAATCTGAAATAATTCATTAGCAAATTTTATTCACTTTGATAAAATAGTAATCATTTCCTCTAAGGCTGCCATTGACTTTTCCTGTAATACCAAAACTAGTGACAGACAACAGCAAGTGAACTACTACAACACTGGAGCTCACTCCTTTCTATAAACAAGGAATTTATAGTTTGAAAACCAGATTTCCCTAATTCTTTAATAAATTTTGCGTGGAAATAAGTCCAAGACAACCTTCCTGCATGAAGAAAAGCTAAACAATCTTAAACTATCAGATTAAAACACAGCTGTTCAAACACATATTTTCAAATATTTTTACATCTTAAGAATGTTTGCCCAGAGGAATTTTTCAATATTTCACATGAAGCATTCTGGCCTTGAAAGTGCTAAATTTCCATGAGGAAGCTGCTGGCAATATTTCTGTTTATTAGGGAGAGAATCCTGAAATCAGATTACTCTGGACTGAGGTCAAATTATAAAGTGGGAAGTTCTGAAAATGACAAGTTCAACTCTTTGTGGAACATGTATAAAACTTTTAAGTATTTGGAAATCAGAGGAAAATGTTTGAAAACACAAAGTGATGATTAAATTTTTAAAATTCTAGTTTTCCTTTTTTCTCATTATATCAGATTATACAGTCAATATAGAATAAAACAGAAATCTAAAAATGTGACAAAACTAAAATATAAATAAATCTATATAACTTATATAAGGATGATTATTAACTCCTCAGACTTTACAATACTGTTTCAGTCTTATATAAATGCTAGTTGAGAAAATACACACTATACTTATTCATTTATGCAACAGTCATAGCACCATGCCTTTTAATTAAAGTAAAAAAGAGACAATCTAATGCTGTGTAAATTCTATTAATAGATATTCAATAATTCATTTGGTCATTTTTATTAAACAATTTATTTTATCTTTATTTTGTTGGATGTTGTTAAATGCATAGAAAGTAGATAAGTATTTTATTTCAGTATGATACTAGCTACAAAACTAAATATGCAAATATGGTAACTGTATTACTACACACTCAGTGCTTTCTCTACATAAGTCAATGCGCGGCATTCATAAATTGTTGTTTGTGCTTATGCAGAGGTGATCTAGCTTCACATAAAGCATGACATCTATACTGGTCTGCATTCAGACCTCTTGGTCTCTAAAGAAATGTATTTTGGATTCTAGTCTGTCCATCACATCCAAAATAAAAGAAGAAATGGAGATCTTGTCCACATATCTATGTACAAAGCAAGTTTAACACTAGTAGTACATTCAGTCCCTATAAAATATTGTCTCTATTCTTTTCACTCTGAAAAAAATAGTTATACAGAATAATTGCATAGAACATAGACAAATTTGTATGAATGGTATGCAGTGTGTAAAGGATGCATATTATCCCTCAGGACCAGAGGGTCCATGTCCTATATCCTGCTAGAGACAGAGGGAAGAAAAGATCGCTCCAATATATTCCTCAATTCCTTAATAAATCTGATTTTCAACATGAGTGGTTATGTTCCTGGTCTATAGTGCCAAGAGCAAAATGGTAGCAGCCCTTCTAATGACAAGGACAACATGAAACATTCCCGTGACACCAGTACCCAACAGTTTTCAGTGGTTCCCAGGCTGTCTGCCGTCACAATGTCCCATTATCTGACATATTTACTGTGGTATCCTCAGGGAAAAGGTAAGCATTAAAGAAGCTGTTTGTTTTACTTTTATTTTTAAACGAGTGAATGGATCATCAAGGTTCTGTTGCCTTCTAATCATAAACAGCTGCATGACTGCTACACCTGCCCATTAGGTAATAGCTTTCTAAAAAATGAAACTGGCAGTTTCTTTTTGGAGATTGATGCAGGATTACAAGGACTGGTTTTCGTTATTAACTGTCTTAGATAAGGAAAAAGCAAAGAAGGGCAGATTCCCTCTTGCCTCCGTGAAAATATCCCACCTTTGACGTTACAATAAATTTGGAGAAAACATACCCGGTAACATAAATGGCCTTAAAAAAAAGAAAACAATCTCTAAGCTGGGTGTGGTGGGGGATGTCTCCACCCACAGCATTCAAGAGGTTGAGGCAGGTGTGTTACCAGGAGTTTGAGACCAGCCTAGACTACACAGTGAGACCCTGTCTCAAATAAAATAGAAAAGGAAAGAAAAGGAGAGGAGAGGAGAGGAGAGGAGAGGAGAAGAGAAGAGAAGACAGGACAGGAGAGGAGAGGACAGGAGGGAAGAGGACAGGAGAGGAGAGGAATGTTGGTTCTTTGATAACAACATTTGGGTATATAAGGGATATAAGTATCCTAAAACTTCTAACTACGTTTTCCAGTCTTAACACACTATAATGTTCTACCTACTATGCTCAAAACAACTCTGTGGCTTGTGCACTATTTTTAATACCTTGAAGATAGCAGATGTTCAATAAATATTTGTGGACACCCCAGATTACACCAGTCCCTCTGGTCTCCACTGTCTCTCCCACTCTGACTACCCTGTACAACATCTTCTAGGACTCACCATCTTGAAAGACTGGTTGGACAGGCCCCATCCAACCAAGATTCAACAGAGGCTCTTTGACAATCGTGTCCCTACCAACAACTCTTTCCTTCACGATCCTCTCCATGCTGCTGAGTCCTATTTCCACAGCCAATTTTCCTCTAACTTTTAATGTAAACTTTCTGTCTGCTCAAACAGTACCCCAACCTTCATCCTCGCCTAATGACATGTGTGCCAAATTGAACACATATTTGAATATTGGAGACTGCTCCCTCCTGCTGCAAAATAGTTTATCTTCTTCCTCACTCTCAAAATCCTATGTCTTGAGGGCCATCCACTGTGGACTCCCTTCTGTCCCTCTTCGATAGAAGCTTTCTTTTCCCCGGTAAGTATTCCCTGCTCTTAAAAAAAATCCTACTTGTTCTCCAAGTCCAATATGCTTCCTGAAGTGACTTCCTCTTCCCACTCTATATTGAAATTTCCTCTATTTTTAAAACGTATTTACTTATCACTCTTCTCTTGCTTCATTTCTGAGGTTTCCTTCTCCCATCAGATTCTCTCTCACAGCTCCCAATAATTTTCCAGCATCATCTTCATGCAACTGGCATGAAGCTCATGAAGCTGTGTATAGAAGTTTCAGCCAAAGCTGCCTACTAAGGGCCTGCGGGCTAATTTAATACAGCAGCCAGGTCTTCCAGAATGTGCAGTATTGCAGTGTGTAAGTCATCAAAATGAATTTGAATGTTACATCACAGTCAGAACAAAGGCCTAAAGTATATGATTGTATGCATATAAATATATGTGTTTTTATCCTAAAAGAAAAAAAAAAGGTTTCTCTTCTACTCCTCTCTGGATACTTCTCTTTCCCCTTTTTCAAAAAGATCATTGTGTTCAACTTCACATTGTTGGACATGATATTAATTCAAAGTTTTCAAAATTTCATTGACAGGTCCCTGAACAAGCATTTATAACACTGTCCCCAAAAGACTTTGTTGCTCATAAAAATTATGATCCAAAATGTTTCTGAAAAACACTTCATCTCAAGTACCATGTATAAATATCCACGATGCTGATGACTTCCTGAAACCATTTGTCTGCTTAGTTGCACTTATTATTCTAACTTTACACATACTCATTTTCTCTTGAATAGGAAAAACGTCTCTTGAAAAGTCAAATGTTTTCCAAATCCTTTTGATATTGCTGCTTTGCTTGCTCACTGCTTATAGCACTACCCCCATTACTGAAGGAAGAATGTAATTATAATTCACCAACCAAAGTGAATGCATTAGCTTTCTAAACAGCACTGTCCAACAGCACTTTTTATGATGATAGAAATGTGTAATTTGTTTTGGCAGATACAGTAACCCCTAGCCATATCCAGCTATTGTTCACTTGAAATGTGGTTAGTGGGACTAAGGAAACGTCTTTTTAATTTTAGTTAATATAACTTTGAATAGCCATCTATGGCTAGTGATGACCACATTACACAGTACAATGTTAATGTGATCAACACTGTAAAGGTTAAACATTTACCTACAGTACAGAAGAAAAATTAATACTCAGGATAAAATGACATTGGCTTTGTTTTGTTTGGTTTTGCCTCTTTCTAGGAGAAGTAAGTAATGGCAAGCATATGATACATACTGACTATGAATTAAGCCTGACTCGGGATTTTGAAAGTCAGTATCTTTTACTGTAGATTTTCATTTATGAAGAAATAGTTTGTGTGGAAGTGATGAATTAGCTTCTCAAATGCTTTACTTTCTTTTGGGAAGGGCTTCTTGAGAGTCAGTTTTCTGCAGCTCACTGTATCAAAAACACAGACTTACACATACTCTGAATACATCAGTGTGGTGATCAGCTTACCTGCACAACCACCCTGAAGTGGAAGGGTTGCTAGATGAGGAGGTGCCTTCCAGGTGCACGCATCTTATAAATGACTACAAGCTTCTGCCTAAAAGTGAGAGGTCCACATGATCATAGTTGCATGATGATGCATTTGTGTGCAAAAAGAAAATGTTAAGTTTTGCATAAAAACTGAGACCTTAGGCTTCTGATGTTTAACACACAGTAGGTAGGGACTATTCATTACCTACGGTAACATCCATTCTCTCTTACTCCTTTCACCTGCCATCACATAATTGTTCAGAATGAGTGGCTTCAAAACAACAAAATATATATTTTACAGTTGTGAATGACGGGAAGTCTAAGATCAAGTCACCAATAGATCTGGTGTCCAGGGAAGGCCTATTATCTTGTTCATAGACATCTTCATATGATCTTCCAAGGTGCAAGGGACAAAAATTCTCTCTGAAGCCTCTTTCATTAGGGCATAATCCCATTAATGAGGTTCCTGTCTCATGACAGAATCACCTTCCAAAGACCCAACTTTCGAATATCATCACATTGGGCATTGGGATTTTACACTTCAGGCTCTAACACTTCCCTTTTTGCTTAGTAACAGAATCCAGTTTAATCTCTTGCCACTTAGAATAAAAGTTATCACTTCCTGACCTTTCACCTAGGTTTTGGTCTCTTGTAATATAATCATAAATAATGTAAGGGTCATCTAAGAAATATTCTCAAAAAGAAATACAGCCTTTTTTTGTCTCCTTCCCTCTGTTCCTTCCTTCCTTCCTTCCTTCTTTCCTTCCTTCCTTCCTTCTGCTTAGAATATAAATGTAATAACAAGATGCAGCAGCTACCTCTGAGTATGAGGTAGAAGATCTGTGGATTGACATATAAGAAATATTTAGCATCTGCATGAGGACATCTGGGAAAAATTTCTTTTATTTTTTTAAGCTCCTATTCTCAGTATGGGTCTTCTAATCAATATAGGTATGATGCTCCTTCACTAACTTCTATTGATTCAAAATAGAAATGATAACTGTGGTACTATATAATAGTCCTTTAACTCTATGATCTACAAACTGTCATAGTATACATTCTATGAAAAATACAAGTCATGCAAAATCTGTATGTATATTAATCTTGTATCTCACAAAATGTGTTACTAGTCTACATGAGTTAGTTAAGCTTAGGTTCAGCTACTTATAATAAAATTATATAAAATAAATACTAGCATCTTAAACTAGATTAAATTTTATTTCTCTTCCAAGCTTGCTGCTTGCTACCTTTTGCCTGCCTGTCCTGCCATGGACCATTTCTCCTCTGCCATGCCACCCTGTCTTACAGCCAGCTAAATATGGGCTGAAACCTCTATAAACTGTGAGCTGAAATAAACATTTCCTCCTTGAACTTGGCATGTTGGGTATTTTTTCCTAGTAATGAGAAAAGTAACTGAGTCAGTTTGCCCAAGAGTACTCAAATTTGAGAACTCGCAACTCGTGGCCTATAAATATTCATTCTAACCAGCTGCTTCCCTAGACACTAAGAGGCTTTAACCTCCTAGGAGTCTCTACTCTCAGATCCAAAGTTTCTTCTGAAAATATTGCACGAGAAGAGGTAGATCCCACCATCTGCTGGTGGAGGTAAGAGAACAGCTGATGTACATTCATTTCAACTCACACAGATTCATGACTGATCTATACCAACCCACCCACCCACAAATCACATTCTCTAAGTGATGGCAGCTGGGAGGGAAAATGCTTAAAGGCAGGGACCACTACCTGCTTTTCAGAGTGTAATCTCCCCTCCCACCCACAAAACCTGTGCAATACCAAGGGGCCAAATCCATAGCTGGAGGCCACCTTTCAGCACAGTCTTTACACTTGGAATTGATGCTAAATGACCATTAGGGAAAATGAGTTTTAAAGATACAGTGGCAGAAAACTCTGCCACAAACTTCGTGAAGTTTATCAAGCAAAGCAATAAATAAAAATCTATCACTTTTCCAGGCACTGAGTATTTACTTCTAAAGCACAGTGTTCCCTGGAGTTCAGAGAAAACAGCACTGATAAAAGGCACGGACATTTGGATGAAGTCATATGATAAAATAGTAAAACCCCAACACAAATCCTACAGAGAACTCTGCTGGAAGATGCACTGATTACCCTTCATTTCATCTTGCCAAGGTGGATCAAATTAACTCAACTGCCGGGCAATGCAATAAAGCAAACAGCATGGGGGTTGGAGTTTCTTATGTCACCTGTCATTCTTCGGGATATATCTTCTTTTTTTGAAGTGGACTACCAGAAATAATTGCAAATTATCAATCAAACTATCACATTTAAGTAGCAATATGCCAAGATGTCACTATAATGATGGATGATAATTAAAATCATACTTTGTAAAGGAAATTGAAGGAAATTTGATTTCATTTACTTTATGTACTAAAGTAATATTTCCAATGGGGTACATTGATAAATGGATATTGAAAAACTTAATATTGCTGAAGTGTTCATACTACTCATAAGTATTTCAAATTCAAAGCAATACCCATCAAAATCCCAATGGCATGTTCTGCAGAAGTAGAAAAAACATCCTAATATTTACATGGAGCCACAAAGGAGCCACAGTAATCTTTAGAAGAACAAACCTGGAGGCAGTGCACTTCCTGATTCATAACATACTGCGAATGTACTGTAATTAAAGCAGTCTAGTGCAGTCATAAACACAAACAGATAGGCTAGTGGAACAGATAGAGCCCAGAAACGAGCCCATACATATGTTGTCAACTGATCTTTAAAAACGGTATCATTACTGAGGAAGGATAGTCTTCAATAAGTGGCTTGGGCAAATTAGATACACATGTACAAAAGAATGAATTTGGACCCTGATCTACTACTATCTACAAAAATCAACTCAAAATTGCATGAAGATTTAAACATAAGATCTGAAAAGGTAGAATCCATAGAAGAAAACTTTGGGGGAAACATTACAGCATTGTTCTTCACAAAAATTTCTTGGATACAATGTGAAAAGTATAGGCAACAAAAACAAACAAACAAGACGAAATGCTATTACATCAAACTTCAGTAGAGCAAAAAAAAAATGAAGAAAATCCATGCAATGGGAGAAAACACTTGAAAGCCATACCTACTAAGGTGTTAATATCCAAAAGAGGTAAGCAACTCCACCAACTCAATAAAACAAAAGAAAAAATTGATCAAAGAGCTTGAATAGACATTTTTGCAAATATAGCATACAAATGACCTACAGTGTGTGAGAAATGCTCAGTGTTGTTAATAATCAGAGAAACACGAACACCACAATGATAGCACTTCAAATCCATTAGTAAGCCTGCTATTAAAAAAAAGAAAATGTGACACACGTTGGTGTTGATGTGAAGAAACTGGAACCCTTGTGTGCTCTTGAAATGTAAAATAAATGCAGCTTTTATGGAAGACACCGTGGAGGTTCCTCAAAATCATTTAAAATAGAAATACCATATAGCAATCTCGTTTCTGAATATTTATGCGAAAGTGTGAAACTCAAAATCTCACAGAGATACTTGCAGTCCTATGTTCACGGCAGCATTCATCACAACACCAAGATGTGGCAATACTTTAAATATTCAGTGACAGGTCAATGGATAAACAAAATATGTTACAGCTCTTTTCAATGGAATATCTTTCAATATTAAGAAAAAAAATCATGCAAGATGCAACAAAATGGATGAACCTAGAGCACATTTTGCTAAGTGAAATAAGCTGGTCCCAGAAGGATAAATCCTACATGTACCATGCAGGTGAGGTAAATAAACAGTTAAAGCAGAAGTAGAGAGTAGATAGTTGTCGCTAGGGTATCAGACGGAAGATGTCATGGGGAACTGGTATTCTATGAAAATAAAGTTTCATTGTTGCGAGATGATTAAGGTCTAAAGACCTGCTTGACAGCACTGTGTCTATAGTTCGCAATGCTGTACTGTGCACTTAGAAACTGGTGAGAGGCTAGATCTCCTGTTAAATGTTCTTACCACAACAACAAAAAGATAAGTGGATGTTAAACACCAGATGAAAGACAACATCTCAGAACTGAATCACCGGAAAAAAAAAGAGAGAGAGAGACATATTTCTTGAGCAATGAAAGGATTCTTTCTGAAGTGTTTGGGCACATATAATTTAACACAGAATCACAGTTCTAAAATTTGAGAGCATGTAAGATGAGTAGGGTCCATTTAGCCTAGCCTCTCACCTTTAAATACGAAGAAACTGGAGTTTTAAAAAGCTAAGAATAGCCACTAAATTATAAAGCTAATTTGTATCCGAGACTGGAGAAGAACTTAGGTCTTCAGATTTTATTCAAGTTTTAATGTTTTTTCTTTATTTTCACATTTTTCCCTGCTTATCTGAGTTACATTTTTTAAGGCTGACTTAAAATATAACCTTTAGAGAGCTGTTTGGGATAACGAAATTGCTTTGCATCCCAATTGTGTTGGTAGTTACACAAGTCTATACATATGCGAAAATTCATAGAACTGCACACCACAAAAAAAAATTTAAAATATCTAAAAGTTAACCCTTAATGTTACTGAAGGAGTTGACTTTTTTTACCTAGGGTATTTGAATTTTCCATACTATAGTTTTTAATTATTCCTAGCAAAAGAAGCCAAATATAAAATGCAGAATATTTAACCCCTCATTCTTTATTTACTGGTTCTGTTTGATTTGGTGGCCTACTTTATCACATGTATTTTCTTCTATTATATAGAGATAAATATAAAGAAAGATGAATCAAGTTTAAATCCTTCCCCTTATTATTGATCAAAACCCTCCCTAAATGAGAATAATATTTGTGAAAAATTTATCAGCTTATCAGCAGAGAGAAAAGTAATGTGGATATACTAAAGATTTAGGAAATCATACACAGAGGTCAGTCTTAAGAAGCTCCTGATGAAACAGATAATAATTATGACAACACACCTATTATAGAGTTCCTGCGTACTACACAATGCATTATACTGGTGTCAGTTATCTTTAGCCCAGAACTGGAAGAAACAAACATTATTAGATGCAATTACCTATATTTACTATTATCAGAGGGGCTAAATCC